TGGTCTATATGGAGAAGAACATGGCATCGGTACTGAAAGAAAATTCATTAACAACCTACAGTACGCAGATGACAACCTTGATTACTGAAAATCAAGAGGACTTGATGTACTTATTGATGAAGATCAAAGAATATATATAGCCTTCAGAATGGACTGCATCTCAAAATAAAGAAAGCAAAAATCCTCACAACGGGAAAATAAGCAACATCATAATAAATAGAGAAAAGATTGACATTATCATTGTTGTTGTTATGTGCTGTAGAGTCAGTTCCGACTCATAGAGACCCTTTACAGGGTTTCTGAGGCTGTAAATCTTTAAAGGAGCAGAAAGCCTCATCGTTCTCCTGCAGAACAGCTGGTAGTTTCCAACTGCTGACCCAGAGGTTAGCAGCCCAATTCGTAACCACTATGCTACCAGAGCTCCTTGAAGTTATCATAGACTTCATTTAATTTAGATTCAAAATCGACACCCATGGAATCAGCAGTCAACCAATCAAGCATATTGCATTGGGCAAATCTGTTGGAAAAGTTATCTTTAAAGTGTCATAAAGCAAAGATGTCACTTTGAGGACTAAGGTGTGCTTGACCCAAGCCATGGTATTTTCAGTCACTTCACATGTACATGAAAGAAGGACAGAGAATAGGAAGACTGAAGAACTGATGCACTGGAAGACCGATGTGTTGGCAAAGAATATTGGAAGCACTACGGACTGCCAGAACGACAAACAAGTCTATCTTGAAAAAAAAGTACAGCTAGAATGTTCCTTAGAAGCGATGATGGAGACACTTTCTCTCACACACTTTGGACATTTGTCAGGAGGGACCAATCCTGGAGAAGGACATCATGTTTGCTAAAGTAGAGGGTCAGCAAGAAAGAGCCTGACCCTTCAGACAGATTGACTGCAACAATGGGCTCAGATGTAGCTACAACTGTGCAGAAGGTGCAGGACCGGGTGTTTTGTTCTGTTGTACAGAGGGTTGGCTAAGAGTCATAACCAACTAGATGAAACTTAATGATTTTCCTTTTTTAAACAAAAAACCCCAGAAAGTCACAGAACACACTTGTTTGGTTTCATTTTGCCTTCACAGCTTTAATGACTCCATTTGTGGAAGCTGTTTAGAAAACCGGTGAGGAGGAGGAGAAAGTCAGAAGCACTAGCCCTGGGGCTCCCTACCCACCATCCTGTCAATGCAGTAGTTTCCCTCAACACCCCCAACTCAGTTCCAGAACCACAGGCCTCTAGTTCCAGCCCAGGACCACGCCCCCCCCCCACTTTTCCTGCATGCCTTAAGTGGGCTACTTTCCAAATGCTTAGCCTCAGGGAGAGACTGCAGGACTGTCCATCAGCATCACTGACCTTGTCCCTAATCACTTGGAGTAGAGGGGGGCCACTTCTCCCCTGGCCCCATCCCTAAAGTCTAGGAAGTTCACAACCATCTTCAGAAGGCATTTGTGGCTATGACGATAGGAGGTGGGAGGCAACCCCCATCTTAGACTCAGCAGCTAGGAACAGGATCACACAGAACTTGTGGTACAGGAGAAACTCCACAACAAAATATGTTGGGATAAACAGCCCCCCCCCCCCCAAAGCTTCAAAATCAGGAATAAAAACACATCTGTCCCTGACTCTACAAATGAGTGTGGAGCTGTAAAATGCTAACAGGAAGCTGGAATGGTTCTTTGTCTTTGTTGTTATTTGAGGTACCTCAAGATTGGTGGTTCAAGCTTACCAGCCATTCCTCCAGCCACTCCTCAGAAACACTCTACAGGGTCACTGTGAGCCAGAGCCAACTCAATGGCACTTAACAACAACAAATTTCAGTATTCATTCCTGATCCCAGGTAGGGCAGTTACCTATTGAGACGTAGATGAGCTGCTGAGCTACCTTCCTCGGGGTACCGCCTATTCTCAGCTTCACTTTGGACCTTAGGCCTCTCCTCCCCTGTTCCACCTCTCCTGGGTCCCTGTGCCCAGCTCACCCTTCTTTTTGCCATCCTGCTCTAAGTCCCAGCCCTTTCTAGTTACCAAGCTGCCCTTTCCTTTTAGCTGTCCAGCTTACGTGGCACCTGATTTCATAATCTTAACACCAGATTCTCAACAGTCAATCCACATCCCAAATGCAACGAAGGGCCCAGAAGGCTTTGACAAAGGTTTATCGGGTTTGAGTTCAAATCTCAGCTCTGAATTCCCATGTGACCCGGGACAAGTCAGAACCTGTCCCATAGTTTCAACTGCTAAATAAGTAGGTTAGAAAGGAGGGGAGGACATAGTTTTTCCTGCTGAATTCCCTGTTTGGGGGGAGGGGAAGGAGGAATAAGTGAGATTACAGATAATATTCTTCCCCTGCAGTGGGACTTTCATGAAAAAGTCCATTAAGATGCTGTGGATTTTTTCCCCATTTGTTTAAGTGAGATAGGTGTTTGCTATAGTGTGAAGAGCAACAAGGATGGAGCACCCCCCCCCCCACACACACACCTCCTAAGTAGAGGCACTAGGAAAACTCTGATTTTAATTGCACTTTAAAAAGAAGTGTTATCAAGACCCCTCAGCTCCTTCTCAACCACCCCAGCCAGAGGCCAAGGAAAGGCTCATTAAAAACTCCAGGAAGGGTGGAAGGGTGCAGTGGGGGAGCTTCCCAGGGCCAACTCGGGCTTTTGAAGTGTTCTCTTCTAGCCAGTTGCTTGCTGACATCTCCTTCTCAGAGTATGGGCTCTTATGGTTCCAGTTTTGATTTTTCCATCATCAAACTTTCCAGTTTAAAAAACAATGTTATAAAACAGGCTCATTTCCATATTCACCGAGGTAGGGGAAGAAAAGGAGAGGTGCCAGCTACTTGTGGGGAGCTTGGGCACCCCCCCCCACACACACAAAAGAACCCCCTTCTGTGGAGACAACTTTCCTGGCCTGAGATTAATCTGAGGCTCAAGGCAGGAATAAATAGGGCTGTGAGAAGAGGATCTCATGTGCTCTAAAGAGCCTGGCTATTGGATAGGAGCTCTGCTACCAAATCAAGATTTGGGGAAAGCCAACACTCTGGCCTTGATTTTCCCCATCAATGAAATGGGGCTAGAAAAAAAATGAAAGAACCACTGGGAACCCCCCCCCAAAACAAACAAACAAACAAACAAACAAACAAAAAAACACTGCAAAAGAAAGATGTTCTCATGTGTCTGCGGCATTGGAGAAAAGGGATTGTGTAGGATGAAAGGGCATATTCTTCCACCCCATGGTTGCTAAGGGTCACACACCACACATTCTGGGCAAAGGAAAGGTTGAAGGCAGACCCCACCAGCTGATCGCTCTACAGGCTGGTGGGCAGGCAGTCCCTGCCAGGCTAAGTAATGAGCATAATTCCAATACCAGCTCTGCTCACTAGTGAGAAATCAAAGCTGGGTATTAGAGACCATTTCTAGCTGGGCACCATTCCTGCTCAAATCCATCAAAGCTCTGGGCCTGGGGTTTCTTCTGGGGAAGGTGGGGGCTGGATGCTTTGTTAAGCAGGAAAGGCAGGCCACCTCCAGCCCTCCTGGAGAACTCTAGGCCAACCAGTCTTGTCTTTCTTCTGCCTACCCAAATCCGCCCCCCACCCCATCCCCAGTAACCTCAGTATTCATTTCTGATCCCACTGGCCTGCTGGTACAAAAACTGCTTCCCAAGACCCAGGCGTGCCCATGTACCATTTACCAAGACTTCGCCCAAAGCTTTAATCACCTCCCCTCAAACACCTTCAAACCAGAAACCAACACCCTAGCCCAGCACCTCCCACATCCAATTGCACCCTTTAAACAAGGCTGGTCACTCAGCAGCCTGCCCCCACCCCCATCATTACCTTCCAGCTTCAAAACACTGCTTTAAATACCAGAGTCTGCCCAAATCATAATTAACTTGGATCAAATGATTGAATTTCGTAACTTTGCAGAACAGGGCTGGAAAAAAAAAATAGTGGGGGATGTGCTAGAACTCAACCCTCACTCTTGGGCCGTGGGAAGCACCAATTCCTGAGTGAGGGATGATCTTTGGCTATTGGGGGAAGGGAAGTCAAAATCTCAACAGAAGATGCTGGGGGGGGGGGCGGTCTGCGTCATCTCCCACTTTCTACATCAGCTCTCCTGCCCCATTCTCAAGTCTCAACTCACAGGGACACCCTGAGAGCTACTCTGGCCATCCACCTCACCAAAGAAAGGTTATGCCCACATACACAGTCAGCGACGCCTTGTCCAGCTGATGGACAAATGAGACACGCACACATCCAAGGCGAAATAGGAGTCTAGGGGTCTCATTTTAGGAGCTCATCAACCCCTTTAAGATAGCCTGCTCTGTCTGTCCAGAGGCTAGCATACCTCAACTAGGGAAACTCCTTAGGATCCACTATATACATACAGCACCCAGAAAAAAATCCGTACAGATCTGTGAGCCCACCATATTGGGGAAAGCTGTGTGTCTGGATTTGACCTTCCCCCCTTCAACTGTCAAAGCCCTTCAATCTGACCTCCTCCGGTTGGTGGAGAGCGACCCGAGCTTTCCACACTCCCCAGATCTACAGCTCTCTCCAGTCTGAGGACTGGAGCCTGTGAAGCGCGCAGGAGCCTGAGCGAGTCGGGACGCGGAGTAGGAAGTTGCTGGCGAACTGCAGCCAGCGTTCACCTGGCCCGCGCAACAGCTTTTTTTCTTCCCTGGCGCTGTAGCCAGGAACGCGAGGAGCCAGGGAATCCCCAGGAAGCAGATCCTCCCAGGAGCCCAGACCCCCAACTCAGATACCCTATTCCAGGAAAAAGAAGCTAATCCTTCCAGGAGGGCTCAGGAAGTTTTGGGCTTATTTTAACCACCTAGGCTGCGCTCCAGCCCACTTTAGAGGGGCCGAGAAACCTGCCTTCTAACTTGTACGCCCATACCGCTTTGTCGGTGGGCTCCAGAGAGATGAAAGACCACCTCAACTTCGGGATGGAGTGAGGCGCAGGGGTCCCCTCGTCTCCCGCCCTTATGTCCAGACGCTCCCTACCTGCAAGGCTCAGCCTCGGGTGCCAGCAGAGTAGCAGCGCCAGCAGCAGCGCGCCCCGTGCTCCGCTCCCGGCCCACATGCTCCCGCAGCCCGGCTCCGGCGCCTCTCCCCCGGGGCTCTCTCCCTGGCCCCAGCCTCGCCGTCGCCGTCTCCGCCGCCGGCGCCTCCTCCTCGCCGTCTTCTCCGGCACCCGGCAGCGCCAGCCCGTGCCCTCCGTGGAGGCAGCGGCAGCCACGCTGCGCGCAGGGCCGTCCGGCGCTCGGAGCGCGATGGGTGTCTCAGTGCTGTGCGGGCTCCGGAGTTCCGAGTGCTCCGCGGACTCCGGTGCCCTGGCTCTGAAGTTGCGCGGCCGAAAGTGAGTGCACTCAGCGGTGCGCGTAGCGGCCGGCGCCGGGCAGTCTGAGCCCCTCTGCGTGCCTCTCCGCGCCCTTGCCGCCGCCTGCGGCTCCGGCGCCTTCGCCGGCCCTAGCCGCCTGCCACAATGCCGAACGCTTCGGCAGGATAGCCGTAGAGAGTCTGGGAGCTGAGGGAAAACCGAGGCGGGGCGGGGTCTGAGCCGGCGAGGGCGGAGCTGGCTGGGGTAGCCTAGAGGGGGAACCCAGCATTCGACTGAGTGAGGCCGCTACTGAGCTTGGGGCCCCTTAGGGGGGGATGCTCGGAAGACGCAGCGCCCAGCACTTTGGAAAACCAGGTTGCTGAAGCAAGACTGGAAACGGAGTATGCACATGTTTCCGAAAACTGAGGAAATACAGCTGGTCTCCAATTTACGACAGGGTTTCCATTGGACTAGTCTTTGGAAAGCCGTTTATCCTTTATTATTAAGTTTTTATTTCATTGTTAATATCTTTATAAATCTGATCTTCAAACATCTCCGAATGAACATTAAAAACCGATAACATCAGCAAATGACATACTGTAGTATCGTATGTCTTACTTATTACTAATGATTAATTGTAAACAAACAAACAAACAAAAAACCCAGATAGGTAGTGAGTACAGCTCTGCGTAACTCAAACGTTGTCATCAATTGGGAACTGTCTGGACATCTTTGCCCAACCTTTGACAAGACTATGTCAGTCTTCTCTGCTTGAACTCAGGACTCTTGCTCTACCCTCCACATGTGAGGATTGTTTAAGAAAACACACACACACAACTCCTGAAATGAGAAAAATCTCAAACATTGAAGCCTTGTTTAAGCTAGGGTTGATTGTTAAGTATGTACATTTGAGCATAGTTTTGGATTATCCCAATGATCTTTAACATCTAATTTGCCCTATGATCTTGGGCAGAACTGTTTGCAGACACTTTTGAGTCTGATCTAAATAGACCCAGTGTGAACTTGGACTCTACCCCTTACCTGCTGTGTTACTTGGAACAACTTACTTAACCTTTCTGATGCTCCCTTCCTTGTCATCTGTAAAATGGAGAATACTAATACTAACTATCATAGGGACTTGTAGCAGTGAATGAAAAACTATGTGTGGAAGCTGCTCTACAAATGCTAACAATCTGTCTTACCAAGATTCTCCCCTTCCTGACCCATCTGATTCCTGGGGGAAAAGTCCTAACCACCAAGGGTGGCAAAGAAGCATGTGGCATCTTGGGACTGAAATCCAGAGATATCCAAAGGGGTAGATCAGCTAACAGTGATCTGCTAGAGATGGTATTATGTACCAGGTACTAGGTTAGGCACTTTATCTGCATCATCTCAGATAATCCTTAGACTAGCCCTCTGATGTAAGTCTCATTTGTATTCCCATTTTACAGAGGAGGAAATTGAAACACAGAAGCTGCAAAGCCTTTTGCTCAAAATCAGACAGCTTTGACTGAATGACTGAGTGAGTAGTTGGGAGAAGTGGGAGGGGGAAAAGAATCTGAAAGAAACCCGGTAATCTAAACTGGGTCGAGACTGGATTCTAAGTAGGCGCTCTTCCTGTTTGTCCATCTCCATGGGGGAGTGGGCCTTCTGCCAGCAGCCAACAGGAATGCCCCTTTCATCCAGCCCTGGTTTGTTTACTACTGGGATAACGGCAGGGACTGCCCAGTACCCTCCACCTCTGGAGCATCAGGGAGATGTGGTAGAAGTACTCTCTTTTCCAGTCTTCTCTAGCTGGGAACCCAGGATCCAGAGGGTGGAGTGAGTGGGACTTCCATGGAAAAGGACTTTGCCAATTGTGACTGATCCTTGGGGACAAAGATGGGTAGGTTGTTTTCACTTAGGCCTGGGGTAGCCCAGGTAAAGGTATGGGTCAGAGAGTCAATAGCTCATCACACCCAGACACATCCACCCATCCACGGAACTGCAAGAGTGCATGCATACACACACACACACACACACACACACACAGACACTCTCTCTCATCTTGAGAGATCAGAAGGCCAGTAGGAGATGAAATTTTTTTCAGAAAAGTTCCAGTCCTTGGGACTTTGCTGTTAGGCAGAAATTGTACCCGGCAGGCCCTTCTAGTCCAAGTGTCAGATTTCATGGCTTTGTTTGATTCCTGGCTGCAGGGGGTGTGGGGGGGTATGGTAATGCAACAAAAGGGGAGAGCAGTCATTTCTCCTACCAGTCCTGGTCTGACTTTGCTCCAAAGCTTACAAACTCTTTCAACTCTTGAAATGTGCCCATGGGAGCCTACTAGGACCAGTTTTTCCTCCAGCACCAATGTGGGGGACTCCTGCTTCCTTTACCCCCCCCCCCCACCATTGCACTAAGTTTGCCTCAAAGAATGCTCTAAGACTGTACCTTCTCTAGCTACCTGCAGCTAAGCAACCCCTCTGCAGATATGGTTCCTCTCCAGCCCATGCAGGCATCTCAAAAGCTGGTCCCCAGCTAGCTCCTGAGAGGGGGATTCAGAGGAAGTCAGTTTACTCTGAATCCCTGTCTTCTCCTAGGATGGGAGAAAAACGGCCCTTTGGGATAAACCATTGGAGTATGGGATCCAGGCTTAACAGGGGTATTCCCAAACAGTGTCTGGGGCCTCGCAGCCAAGGGGTCCTTCTGTAAGTTAAGAAACAGAATTTGGTGGTCAGTGCCTTGAAGGTAGGATGCTGTCTTTCATGTTCAGTATATATCAAGTGCCTACCATGGTTTCTGACTCATAATGGGGATCTAATCAATATTGGTTAAGTGGATACTTTAAGGTGGAGGGAGGAGGAGCTACTGGTCAAAGGGCCTTATGATCTTGTTCCACAGAGAGCCCAGGAAGGAGTCTCCCACCCTACCCCCTAAGCTAGAATTGGGAGAGTTTTGTGTAACTTGCCATGAAGTCGCTCTGACTCATGACTACCTCATGTGTGTCAGAGTAGACCCGGAGGCTCTCTCTGGCTAATTTTTTGGACGAAGATATATATGCCTTTCTTCCAAGGTGCCTTTAGGTGAACTGAACCGCCAACATTTCTGTTAGCGTTGGAGCACATTTTAGCCACTTCACTACCCAGAAACTCCCTATGTAAGGTGGTGTGGTTAAGTGCCATCAAGTTGGTTCTGACTCAGAGTGACCCTATATAGGGTTTCCCAGGCGTGACTGGGGTTGGGGGGGGTTGAACCCCAACCTTGTGGTAAGCAGTCCAGTGCTTATCCTGCAACGTCACACCAGCCAATACAGCTATTTTGAAAACATACTACTTTGAAAGCAGTCCCTGAGCCAGACGCTTCTACCCTTCTCCCAATTTGCCACCAGCAGGACGAGGGTAGGAATCTGGAGCCAAGCTGAGTCAGGCTGTCTTACCTATTGGGAAACCAAGTATCAGTTTCCTAAATTGTCAAACAGAAATAATAACAACAACATCATAAGATTAAGAAGAAGAACATAAAGCCCCTAGACTAGCTAAATAAAAGCTACTTGTTTTATAAAGATGATTTAAAAGCAGCACTAAGGATGCCTTGCAGGGAATGACCGACATTCGGTTAGGCTCCTCCTAAACGGGCGCCGCGTTTCAGATCGGTGCCACTAGGCGGCGCCCTGCAGCTTACGTCTCTCTCGCAGCAGCTACAGCCTCCTTCCCTCCAAGGCGAGGTATCTGTCAGGGAGCCCCAAGCCACACCCTGCCTGAGGTCCTCAGGATCCGGGAGATGTTGAGGAGGCGGCTCTGAGACGACTGGCTTTACCGAATCTTGGGTAGGAAGGAGTTCCACTTCCCTCTCTATTCCTCGCTAGCCCAAATGTCTGAGCATTGAAGAGAGGAGGAGCCTAAAGTTGAAGTCATTATCTCTTTACCTTAGTAAAATTTTTACTGAAGTTCACGGTAAGCGCTTCTAATGCATCAACTACTGTTTTAAGCCCTTTGTGTGCTGGCAATAACCATATAGGGGCAGATCTGTTGTTACCACGTTTAACATATGAGTGAACTGAGGTTCAGAGCCTAAAGTCTCACCTAGTAAACTTGCAGTGAGAATTCAAATCCAGACAGAAAGAACCTCAAGCTTGTACTCCTTTCTTTGAGATAGAATTCAGGTTAACAGGAACACATGGTTTTAATGATTTTAAAGAAAACAATCCATTATCTCATTCCTGAGCATTGTCATCACCCCAAAAGGAAATCCCCGTCAGTCTCCATTCCTTCCTCCTTCCAGCCCCTGGAAACCACTAATCCTCTTTCTGTCTCAATTTGTCTATTCTGGAGGTTACATGTTGTTTTTAAGTGCCTGGAGTCAGTTCTGACTCATAGCGACTCTGTATATGGTTTCTGGGGGCTGTTTGTGGAAGCTGAGAACCTCATCTTTCTCCTGTGGAGCAACTGGTGGGCTTGAGCCACTGACCTTGTGGTTCGCAGTCCAGTGCTTATCCTCTAAAGCCACCACGCTCTAGAAGGAAGCCAGAAATAAAAGTCCACATATTGTATGGCTGTGGAACAGACTGTCAACTGCTGATATGCAAGTTCAGGCTAAAGCTAAAGAAAAGTAAAATAGGTCCACAAGAGCCAAAGTATGACCTTGAACATATTCCTCCTGAATTTAGAGATCATGTCAAGAACAGATTGTATGCTTTAGACACCAAAGACCAGAAGAGTTGTGGGTGACACAGGAAGAAAGCAAATGGTCTCTGAGAAGACAAGAAAGAAGGAAAAGACCAAAATGGATGTCAGGAGACCTTGAAATGTGCTCTCCAGCATAGAGACGCTAAAGCAAATGGAATAAATAAGGAGGTAAAAGAGCTGAACAGAAATTTTCAAAGGTCAACTTGAGAAGACAAAGTCAAGTATTATAATAAAACGTGCACAAACCTGGAGTTAAAAAACTCAAAGGGAAGCACATGCTCAGCATTTCTCAAGCTGAAAGAATTAAATAAAATTCAAGCCATGACTTGCAATATTGGAGGATTCTATGGACAAAATATTGAATGATGCAGAAAGCATCAAAAGAAGATGGAAGGAACATGCAATCACTGTACCAAAAAGAAATGGTTAATGTTCAACCATTCCAAAAGGTAGCATATGATCAAGAGTCAATGGTACTGAAGGAGGAAGTCCAAGGTGCACTGAAGGCATTGGCAAAGAACAAGGCACTA